ACCAAATTTCATCCAATTCGGTTTGATAGTTTTTACATAATAATTGTTTAAATTTTTTATATTTTTTAAATTAAAAAATTTTCAAAATCAAATTTCTAAAAATCTAAAGCCTTTGAATACTCGAAAATGTCACCACAAAAAGAAGAGCTCTCAAGCTTTAAAAAGCTTTTTGAAAAATTCAAATCGGACGATTAGGTGAGCCGTGGTGATTGTTTAAACATTTTCGCAATTTTCACGCTTATAAACAATTGCAATAATTTAATGTTTTTTCAAATTTTTGGTAATACTAGTAACTTTGTTTAAATATTATAAAATTGTTTAAACAATAATTATTTAAATAAACAACTGAAAACTGGTATTAATTTTTAGTTGTACGATGGATTCGTAGGGGGCGGGGGGTGTGTGAGGGGTGGGGTCAAATGGGGTAGTTTGATAGTCAAAAATGTGGTTGTTTGGGATCATTGTTGGGTTGATTAAAAAATAAATTGTTTTACATGCAGAAATCAGTTAAATCGCCCCTGCTACTTGGAGGCAGTTTTTTTTTGGGGGGGGGGAGGGGTAGAGTTGGGGCTTTGTGCCCATTGAGACTTTTGATCTACATGTTAAGAACTATCAACCTGCGAATTTTCAGAAAAATTGGCCGTAACCCACTTCCCATAAGAAAAGTGCGAGGTCCTTTGAAATTAAAAAAAAAATGTTAGATTTCAATGTATTATTATGAAGTCTACCATGAAAAAAATCAGTGCGATTGTGGAAGATCCTCGGAATCGTCCAGACTAATAATTAGTTAATTTGTTTATATGACCATAACTTGTAAACTATTCAACTTACCGATGCCAGATTTCGTGTGCGTTATTAGACAGTGATAAGGAATAAGACGATGCGATGCCAAAACGTTCTGGTAATAATAACGCATTTTATAAATGTTTATTCAAAAGTCATAAATAAACTTCTTCTGTTTATAACTTTTGATCTAATTAATATTTTTTGACGCTCGAGGGCTAGTTTAGTAGGTTTTTTGAAGACGAAAAAAAAACGCTGTACTGTTTTTCCGTGGAAATGAACGGAAAAAAGTTATAAGCGAAAAACGTGAATTTACGCAAAAATTATACAATTAACCAGCCTGTAAACAATATTCCCCTCATTTTTACGACTGTGGAAACTAATAGTCCAGGCGGTAGACCAGAAATATGTTTGGAATTAACCCAGCTCCCATCTGTTAAAGTTTGTCATAAAGCTTGAAGAACAGCCTGTATAAGAAAATTATCCTTCGTTATAAATTGATATAATTTAAGATACTGGGATTTTAACTGAGCTTACAAAAAAGTAACCAACATTTCTGCTTTTTTATAATAAGGGGTGATACAGAAGAATAGACTGACAGTGTACGGCTACCTTTAGGATTTATTTCCGTCCTAATACTCGACAGTTGTCGAAAAATAATCAAGATCACTGCCCCCTTGATGTAAATCCATTCGAATTGTCCCTAATCGAGCCCCTAAGTTTTTTCTAGATTATTCTCTTTGCAGATTACTTGGATCCCTTCTTGAGAGAGAGCTGGGGCAACGGCAGCGACGTAATGGGTTTTAGATCGGTGCTCAAGCTGACGCCCTCACATCCCAGAAATCCGAATTACAAGTAAGTATCCCCGGGGGGGCAAAAACACCGGTTAAACGGTCCTGCAAGCGCTGTTTTTTGCGGTTTTACGTCTTAACGACAGTTAAAACTCCTTGTGAAAAAAAAACAAGTCTGTAAGTATGCACCATTTAGTTAGATTATTCGGGATCATCTTTGTAATTGAAAAATATGACCTAGCTTTATTGAAATTAAGAAAAAAGACACCCACTGACGAGGCTTGTGATTATTTTCAATTAAAAACTTCTCCAGCGAGTCTATTTGTCAAACCGGGCTTGTTAGATTATACTCCAGTTGAGGGTTTGAATGTGAAAAAATTGTTAGTAGACAATTTATTGCACTTAGCGCGAAATTTTTTAACCGAATTTGAAACGTTCAAGTCAAAAATCTCCCGTGCGACTAGGGCGGCACTTACGCGCGTGCGCGGGCCTGGCGCTCCTTCTCCCGCGCACAGGCCGTTCATTATCGTTAACTTTGGATTGATCGTCTTTGTTTAAAACTGATATTTCTGCGTTCGTCGTCTAGATTTTCATGGGCAGTAGTCCAGTATACAACGGTAAAAGTAGGGTATTACCTCCCAATTATTAACACACTCACCGATTTTCATGAAAATTGGTGAGTAAGCTCATTTAACCCTCCTTTACAAAAGTTACATATCTATAATGTGCGCGTATTGTTTTTAGGGGCTTACAAAAAACGTAAAACCATAGATTTAAGTGTTATGTCAATAGAATAAGCATCCTTTTATGTTTTGAATAATAATTTTTGATTTGTAGCAACATTTCAACCCTTAAAATCCACCCGTTATGAGGAAAAAAACAAAAGGTAGTTTTCGCGGCTCTGAAATGTTTTACCGGAGCAACAATGAAGAATTGAATATTTTTTACTGTTTATGAAATAATACATGATTTATTGCAACGTTTCAACCATTAAAAACCACCCTTATTGCAGAAAATAAAGCAAAACATTTTCTTCACATCTTCGTAGCATTTATAATGAAATGAAAGACTCATCACTGTTTCAACCCTTAAAAACAACCCTTAATAAGGATTTGAAGAATTTTTACCTGCTTCAAAATACTCAACATTACTAAATTCAATAAAAATTATTTATGTATTATACAATTATACTTTATCATCAAAAATGTGCATATCATCTAAAGAACTATCATCACTGTCGACTTCCTCTGGTCTTCTTGGTCCGTGATTGGAGTACAATTTTGGCAACTGTTCCCAGAACATGTTCGGAAATTAAGCCATTTACACGATCCTACAATTTTCACTGAATAATACAATTCGTTTTTTCACGATAACTTTTTTAATTTTTAATATTTTTCATCGCTCCAAAAAGCAATTTGCAGAGAATTGTAAGAACTACAAATCAACCTATATAGCTGAAGGGCCTTGAACCCTTCGTTTTCGAGATTTTTAGGTTTTAAGGGCTCAAAGAAATGCAAACTAAAAAACGTAATACCTCAGTTAATTTTTGCTCTACAGGAAAATTGAAAGAGTGCAAAAATATTATAAAAAAGGCCTTTAATTTTGAACTCTTGCATTTTTCACGTATCTTGTTTAGTTTTTGAGTTATTTCGAAAAAACAGGATATTTTTTTAAAATTAAAATTTTTTTTTTCACTATTTCAAACTGTTTTTAAATTTAAGCATTCTAAACAGGTCAAACTTATAGAGCGTATTATTACTACCTAAATAAAGTCAACTGTACATAGATTACGCTTAACCTATTTTTATGGTTCAGGCATAGATTTTATTGTTGATTTTTTCTCCGAAAAAATGAGATGACTATTTTATTTTCATCACAACTCCGCGAACTTTTGAGCTACGAAATTTTTTCAAAAAGCATTTTACAGGTCTTTCCAAGCACTTTAAAAAAGGTTATATTCATTTTCTTCGAAAAATTAGTTCTTTCGCCATTATTTTACGGTAAAAAGTTCGATTTTACTTTCCGAAAAATAAACAATCACCTTTAGAGAGTGATAAGTCGGTTATGATTACATCTACGGTAATCAACAAAAAATGAGTCGATTCATTATTTCAAAAGCTTTATTTTTGCTTTATATGGGTTTTGCGATAAAACGCAAGGTTTTCCAGTTATTTATCAAAAATTGTTGAAAAACATGCACTTTTTAGATGAAAAATCAACTTATTCAATCGCAAATAACTCGGAAAATATTAATTTTTGGAAAACACGTTAAAAGAACATTGTTTGCTCAGAATTCATCCCTCTATTGATTTTTTTGATGCCTTCCTTGCCACCCCCGAGAAGGGGTGGCATTCACCCCCAGGGTGAAAGCACACATCGGCACTATATAACGTTTGTTTCTTGAGCAATTTTTTACTTATTGTTAAAATTTCACGTCAATCGGTGCATGTGTCAAGAATTCGGATCTAAAAACCGTCATATACTCAATGAACTACAGTAAAAAAAAATTAAAAAACACGTAATGTTGCCATTTTATTTGCCTATAGTAGGATCATATTCGATGCAAAGTAATAAATCATTGCCTGTCAAGGGAACCAATGAAGTACGCTTTTAGGGGTTTTACAAATTGAATAATTTCTTTATACATTATGAAGGGACGAGGGGATCAGTTCAGGTCTGGCACCCTTGTTGCTACAAAAATTCCTATATTCTCATAAACTATTTATTTTAAATGTAATTTATTATAAATCCAATTTGTTTCTTAAATTCCACATATGTACTACATTTTACCTCTGTACGCGCCACTATTGTTTACTTGTTTTTTGGAAGCGCTCTCTAATTGACGGCAAAGCTGACCAGGTTAGTATTTGACGTATAACCGACCAGTTCGTACACTCGATGCACCTGGGCGACTACAGCTACTACCAGAACACAGTGCGTATGCAGCGGTATTTCAGATTTTACATTGAATTTCATTTTAAATTTGAAATGATTTGTCTTACGCGCTAAAAATGATGACACGATTTTCCCTTGATAAAAGGCCGACAACTTTTTGCTCTACATTGCATCGAATACGATCCTACTATAGTTTTATTTAATTCGACTGGAATATTATATTTCCAGGTACATCTGCGAAAAAATCAAAGCATCCTCTGCAAAACCACCGTTCTGTGTTCCTTACCACCACAAAATCTTCGATAGTATATCGGTAAGTTCTCCTCTAACTTGAATTATAAATTAACTGGCTTTTATTTTGTCCCTAAGGACCTCAAACTGAGATTTAAAGCCCGTTTTAAGTACCCGCTGCTAATATGTCTTTATTATTTAATCGCTTTTTTGTGTTTTGCCTCCATCAGTGATAAGTAATGGCTGTCGTTATATTTACATTAACATATACCACTCCTGATCATGAGCGTTTCGTTTCAGTTTTTAAGCACAGAAAGTCGTAAAGCTTTCGTGGGCCAAAAAAGTGGCATAAGTAATTGGAGTCTCGGGTCAAAGTGGGATTTATTATCTTTAAAAATAGCGCTCTTGAGCTTTTCGTAGCAGGATTATAATATATTTTCTCAATTTTTTACACTGTATCAGATTGAGTAATGATTTCGGTACTTAAATGGAAAAATCTGTGTTGCCGAGCATGTCAAAGCTTGAGAAAGTTTTATTGACTGCTTTTGTTCATTTATTTTGTAGGTTCCTATCCAAGCAGCCTACTTGTACGATGCTGTGATGATCTACGCGCGAGCCTTGACGGAAGTCTTTCAGAACAACGAAGACCCAAGAAATGGAACCGCGATCCTACGTAGAATTATTAATAGGTCCTACCATTCCATACAAGGCTACGACGTAAGTGAGAATGAAATCTAATTTTAAGCAAAATTAATTGGTAATTTTTTTATTAAAAATTTGTATGTAGATGCCAGTTACGAGTAGAACAGATGAACTTCCAGTTCAGTACCTCTTTGTTTTATGACAATTTTGCAAGATCAGATTTTTGTTTAAAATTGATTAGCGATGTCAAAAATGTCATAAAATTAAAAAAAAATTATAGGCACAGAAATTTTATTTAAAAAAAGGGCACCCGTCTACTACGCCACTGATGGTTGTAGTGAATCGTTTGTAGGTCATTCTTAAAGGACATTATGTCGCCATAAGACATACCCAATTTGGTTTCGTTAGTAGTTACTGTTTTAGTTATCACACAAAAAAATAATATGTTATGTTTAAAATGGGTATATGAGGCATAAGCATCTAGATGCGTAAAATTACAACGAAAATAGAAAAATATGGATTTCCTCTTAACAAATCAAGGTTGACCTTGAAATAACCTTGATAATTGACTTTGGTTAATTTCAAGGTCATGGTAACTTGATCCCCTCGAAATCTGAGAACTTTTGTAGGAATTATCACCATCCTGCCTATTTCTTGAGATATTAGCCTGAGAATTAAAATGGAACAGTAAAATTTTGCGTACTATGGCGAGAGAGCGAAGCATTTTCAAAAAAATTATTCATACAAAAGTTACGTATTTTTTTCTCAATCTGCAACAAAAAATACGGGTTTTCTTTTAAAAAATCAAGGTTGAGCTTGCAATGACCTTGAGCATTGACTTCAAGGTCAAATTCAAAGTCGCCTAAATTTGACCCCCTCGAAAACCGATAACTTGTTCGAATTATTTTTTTATAAAAGTCGAATTAAAAAAATATATGCGGCTTGGTACATTAAAATGGGACACCTTGTATATGTGAAAGCCAAATTTTACAGTTAGGCCCGGCCTCAGTTGCTTCATACGACGAGCCGCCGCTGTTTAGTGCAAGGCAGAATAAACTGTGTGGGTAAAAACGTCTGTCGATGTGGTAGCATTATTGGTAGAGATATATACAGGGTGATCATTAATAATGGTACACAGCTTACTGGCCGATTGTTAACATCAAAATATAGCGATTGAGCCAAACATGCCTTAGTCAATTGTTGCTCCTTTTTGTTCTACAGGGCTTCTTTTGTTCTACATAGTTGGAAAAAAATTTCTATTTTTTGCCATATTTTAAGTATATATCGACCGATTGATTTGAAAATTTCTAGTTTTACGTTTTTTTTTTCTAGTTTTACGTGGCAAATACGAATATGCAAACAGCGTTGGGGTCACGTCTAGGGGGCGCTTGATATACTGTCCTATTAATGTAAAAATATGTCTAACTTTTTGTATTTTTTACAATTTTTAATTTTTTAACTTAAAATTACTGTTACTTCTTACAAATCGATAAACTCAACTGTTTTCGAGTTACAGAAGGTTTTGACATTCGGCGGAAATTAAATTAGAAAATTAGAAGGTCATAAAATACCAAGCCTGAATTAAAAATTAAGACAAACATTACAGCAACTGAACATTTTTTTATGCATATCTTGACAAATTGTTAATCATAAAAGATTCTCAAAGCAACCACCATCGACTTCAATGCACCTATTTAAATTTTGTCTGATGTTAAATAAAGTTTTATGTTGTTTGATAATATGAACTGATTATTGAATATTTGTCCACAGTTGTTCTTGACTATTAATAATGTATTTGTAATCTAGAAATTTAATGCAGCCCCAAAAGAAAAGCCCAGTGGATTTAAATCAGGCCTACGGGTAGGCTACGGTACTTCGCTACCGTGTCCAATCCAGTTTTGCGGAAAATTTCATTAAGGTATTCTCTTACTTCTCGGGTATAATATTCTGTCAATTTATTGTCAATGCTTACTACTTTGAAAAAAATTAAGTTTTAATTTAAATACTTAAAATATAGCAAAAAATCGAAAATATTTTTTCAAATTTAACACCCTGTAGAACGAAACGAAGCAACAATTGATTAAGGCAAGTTTGGCTCCATCACTATATTTTGAAGTTGCCATTAAGCTGCCATTAAGTTGCCATCAAGCTGCCACTAAGCTGCCATTAAGCCGTGTACCATTATTAATTACTCACCCTGTGTAGACAAATTATTATTAATCTACAAAAAGTCCCGTAGGAATATTCTGAGAGTAACTTATGCAATATTTTTTATTTTCTATTAAATTTTAATTTCCCTAAACTGGAATTAGACAGCAAATAATTAATATCATATTTGATTGTAACATGTGACACTTTGTAAGATATGCATGTGCTTTTAATATTTGGATTGCATTGTATTGTACTGTAAATTAAATAATAATTGTCCATTTACAAATGACTCAGTACAACAAACTTTTATTATTTTATATCATTTCGAACGAAAATATACTATATACAGTAAAAGAGTATTAGACCAAGCAAATTAAATTTTTACTCGAAAAAAGTCCTATCCGCGAGATTATTGTAAAATTGTCTAAAGGAACATAATTCGAGACATCTCTCATCTCATGAGTCAAAAACATTTATTAGCTAACTTTTCTATTTAAACAAATAAGTGAGGAAAACAGTTTTTCACTTTGCAGGGAAATCAATTTGAAAATAATTTATGAATTTTCACTTTAATTTTACATTTAAATCGTAATTAAATAGCTAAAAAAAATATTGAAAAAACAAGTTTACTTTGCCTTAATATGTAAAAAAATAACTTTTTAAATGAACGATAGCTTCATTTATTTATTTAATAATAGTAAAATAATTCCGAAATTGAAATTTTAATATTTCGTTTAACAATAATTTTTGACATTTTTGTAAATTAAAAAAAATTAAGTATAAAAGATGCATTTTTTCTGGGGTTCATGGCTATTCTACGAAATCGTAAATATGCCCATTGTTATTATTTCGTCGAGCTACCCCAGTTTAGAAAAAAATAAGTTTCTACGATGAATAGAAGCCGAGATATTGCAAAATTTACAGCGCGTATCAATTAACTTTTCTCGCGCGCGCGACCGCTTGGACGAACTTCCCCCACCACCACGCCGCCGGACAGTTTACTTAGCGAGTACCTTCTCTTTAAAGGGCCGTGAGTCATCAATTTTCCACATTTTTCAATGCAATTCACGGAAAATCGTAGTTTACGTCGTAAACTGTATTTTGCGAAAAATTCAAGTCTTAATATTTATAACAACAATTGTGCTACGATTTAAAAAAAATCTTATCTTGGCTGCTGTTGGTCGTAGAGGATACTTCTTTTATTTTAAAACTGTATTTTCTTGCCAGCTATCCATTGCATCTATTTTCGGTGAGATAGCATAAATAGCAACAATGTTATTCAAATTGTTTATAAGCGAAAAACGCACGGTTTTTTAATGCACAATTTAAGAATGTTAATGTCAAAAAACCGGTGATATTTTAATAGGTCGCTTAATTACGTCTTTAAGATTACAATGACGCTTTCAGAATCATGTTTGGTTGAAAATTAACGCCTGTACAGAGGCTTAAAGTTCATAACTTTTGGAGCCTCCGTTATAAACAAATAGAATTGTGCGAAAACTATTGCACCTACAGCGCCCACTTTTGGCACACTTTTAAAGTATGACAAAACCCTCAACTTGTCATAGGTTTTATAAAATTTTAACAATAAATGCGATAGTTATAAACAAATTAAAAAATGGGCACTTTTCTTGTTTTTTTGCAATAACTTTTTTGTTTATTAACCGATTTTAATTTAACAAGTCTCATTTTGTAGATAATTTTACTCCCTATAAGTTGTCTGCGAGTCACTTTTCGCTAAAATTGATGGTTTTCCCTGCAAAGTGAAAAAACCGTTTTCCTCACTTATTTGTTTAAATAGAAAAGTTAGCGACTTTTTTCGAGTTTCTCTTTTATTTTCGCTAATTTTCCTGGTATATATCTATTATCCCTTCACAGTTTAAGACCTGACCTATACTATTATTAATTCTTATTCTAGGTATTCGAAACAATGATGTAGGTCGTCACATTTAAAACTCTAAAGCTCTTAGTATACGTGGTTAAAAGTCGCTAACGTCATTATCATAGAGCAGTTGGTTTCCCTGCAAACTTGAAGTCGTTTGGGTTGTTGTTTCAAGGAGAGTTGTTTTGGCATCCATTCAAACTTTACTAAGTTTGTGCTAGTCGTGGACAATAGGGTCAAGATTACCAACATTAATTCATAAATTTCTTGGCGCTTTCATTTACAGATACTTACTTACATTCCTAATCTGAAATGTTTACGTTAATAAAAAATTGTTACAGTATCTGCTAAACACTCTTTAAAACTTTAAAAGAGCTGCATTAAATCTCACTGAAAAGGAAATTAATAAAATCACGTTGTGCGACATGTGAAGCACCAATGGCTAATAAAATTGATTCGTCAAACTGGAATGGACCCATTTGAAATGCGACAAAAAAAATTAATATACTGCATTGTTCATGGCTAACAATACAAGCGCCACGACGCTTCAGAATTGATGTTTAACTAGTTCTATCCCCGGTTTTAGGTATTCATAGACGGGAATGGCGATGCAGAGGGAAATTTCACTGTAGTGGCTCTTTTGGATGACAAAGAGATGAATGGGACTTTGAGGATGAGTATGCAACCCGTCGGGTATTTCCAGTACCAGTCAAATGGAAGCAACAAGAGTTCAGCCCTTCCTGTAAGTCCCATATTCATTCTATATTCAATAGATGTTAGACCCAGATTAAAATCAGTCACTCTCATACAAACTAAACGCTAAATTATGAAAAGAAACGTTCTACTCTGCACTTAATTGCCTCTTGTTTTATACTGAATGTAAAATGTTAATTTATATTGGTTTACTATTCAGTGTTAGCTTAGGTGTTCCTCAGAGTTCGTGTTCTGGGCCCTTATTATTTTTAGGGCTCACAAATGATGGACAATTCTTTTAAATTTTATGCCTCTGTTGCTATTTATTACTCAGGAATTCAAGTATTTGGATCTGGACAGACCGATTCAATGGGTGGGAGGGCGATTGCCGCGAGCTGAACCGAAGTGTGGGTTTTCCGGGGAAAAATGCATCTACGAAATCGACTGGAAGCTTGTCGCAAGCATGATACTGGTCTCTACTATAGTTGCCGTTGGGGTACTATTCGCTCTCAAGTAAGTTTTGAATTTTGAAACTACTAAAAAAATACTAGATTTAAGATGTAACGAATTTTCAACATATAGGTATTTCTCTACAAGTAACAGTCAAGGATTATTATTTTTTAAATTATCTTTGTCTGAGTGAAGAAACAGACAAGTAAAAAATACTATATCACACATTTAAATTGAAGATTGAAATCCACTATTTTGAAAAATATATTTTCGTCTAGTGCATATATGGGATGTGTTTGTGTGGGTTTAATAGAACTGAACTATAAACTAGGGTAAATTCAAAAATAAAAAATAAATTTCTCTTTTGTTTTTATCTGCTTCCATGACTAGAGGTATCATATGATGTATGTTGGACTCAGGCAACTATGTGGACTTACCTTTAACGAGTGGTATGACGTCATATCGTGCTTTTCCCTGAACTCCGTTCTCGTTAACCATTTTAATAGGGAAATTGTTGAAAAAAATTGACTTCTTGAACATTAATTGACTGTAATGTATACAGTGTGGACCATTTTGGTGATGCATGTATTGATATCTTGGAAACTATAAGAGATAGGAAAATGGTGAAGCGAAGAAAGTTTTAGACAGTTCTGTTGCTAACTTAATGGCACTTGCACACCGGTCCTAACTCTTCAGGTTTTTGAGTTATTTGGAAAAATAGTAAATGTGGCGTTTTCAAAAATAAAATTGTCTGTAACTTTTTTATTTAGAGATTTTTAAAATCTGGAAACACTTTCTCACAAGATTTTTCGAGGAATTTCACTGTACATTTAGACCTTTAATAATAAGCTTTTACAAAAAATTGAGACTATTCTATAATAGATTCGAAAAATTATACCGTGTTGCCAGATTTATTAAAAATATTTAAATATTGATTTTCGAGGTTGTCTTTGAAATTTTTTCTTTCTTATAATATATCATTGAAATGCCAAAAAATGCTCTATTTACTCAGCTTAAAATTCCATGCAGAGTCCATAAGAAAAAAGAAAGTTGATGATGGTTTCTCGCAACCGAAACGTCGCAATGAAGATCTGAATATACAGTGGATATCCTCGAAATAACTTGCTGTGAAAAAGTGTTTTCAGATTTTAAAAATTCCTCTAAATAAAAAAGTTACAGACGATTTTCGAAAATGCCACATTTACTTTTTTTTCAAAACAAAAACCTGAAGACCTAAAACCGGTCTGTAAGCGCAATTAAATTAGCAACAGAACTGTCTAAAACTTTCCCCGTTTAACAATTTTCCTACCTCTTATAGTTTCCAAGATATAGTCTTTCCGATCTCAATTGAAAAACCAAGAGATTGGCAGTATGTACCAGATTCGGTCGATGACGCAGCAACTCGGCACTGAAACATTTGAAAAACTTGTTCCTATATTTATTTAGCCATACCCATATACAGGTCTGGTCGCCCAGTTGAAGAATGAGCGCGCGGGCAAACGCTGCACAAACACAGCCGCACTGAGCGACCTGGCCATAAATTCAGTTGTCGACAAATGGTCTAGTAGTGCAGTGCAGCAATGCGGAATTTGGTGTGATTCAGGTAATTTTAATTGATTATAGTCACCTTCTATCAATCATTCATATTACAATTGAAATATGTTGGTCAAATGAACATATAATAGAAATTTTCTGCACATTATATACAATTTATTATAATTTTTTACCTTTAGTAGAAAACTTTTTTAGGGACGCCTATAAACTCATTAAATTGTATTGCTAGGCGTTTTTACACATGTTCAACTGACTTCGGAAAGACTATACCAATACATGCATCATCAAAATGGTCCACACTGTATATACTCTAGGAATATGAATTTAAATAAAATATTAAATTATTAAATAATTTTTTTATATTTTATATAATATTTAAAAATGTTTTAATTAATAATGTGTTCTATTTATTTATTTTCTTGTTCATATAATGTTTTTCTTAATTGATGCAGGAATTAAGGTTAAGAATTTTCGAGCATAAAAAATATATTTCTTTATAGAGTTGATCTTTTAAGCAAATGCATATGAAAACTATTATTTGTTGTAGCTCTTGTTTGAAGGCATGTAAAAGAAATACATACGCTTGTTTTATTTTTATAACTTAAATTAACTGCAGTACTACAGTAATATGAACCTATGATATAAAAAATCATTTGTTTGCCTAGCGCTTCAGAGAAACAATATTTTCAAAGCAGTGTTTAGACAAGTTTGTAAACTTTTCATAGCGTTATTGTGCAGTGGAGTAGCCACACGACTATCCTATGTAATATTATTAATTTATTCACAATTGTTATGTATATCTTTACCTTGTAAAATGTTTCTTAAGAGATATAATTTATAAACCAATATTCCAATAGTTGTGTGTGTATATCCACAGATATTTAGTAAAATTAACTTTTTTAATTGACCAAAAATTGTGGAAAAAGCAATAAGATTAGTTTAGAAACAAGAATTACATTTTTGTTACTTAACTACTGCTGTTTAATTTTCAACTCGTTCTCTGCATCTTTGTACACATTTTCCCAGTTTGTCCCTCCAAAATATGCTACCAGTATCATCAACGATATATTTCATCGAGACTGACTGTTTCTCCCACTATATTTAACTTCTCCCGAGGAAATCATAATATCTTAATGAGAATTTCAGATTCCATGTCTCAATTATTATCGGTTCTAGGACGTAAGGGAATGATGAAAATCGCCTCAGGCTTACCTAGCGATTAATCCTTACTATGACGATTATTTCGTGGTAGCCTGACAGGGTTATAGTTGTTATTTAATTTTCAACTGACAACATGATTCTGTGCTGTGGCAAGAAGTTGTTTTCTTCTGATGTTAATCGAATAACAGTTTTCTTTCTTGAGATATCGATTTAGGATTTTAGTTGTCAGGACTTGACTGATATTACAAGAAATGGTGATAAAATAAAAGAAACAATCGAAGTTAAAAGAGGTGTACAACGGAGTTTACTGAAAATTTTTTCTTCGTCACGAATATTTTCAGAAAATGATCAAAATACGTGAAATATCCTGTACCTTGGAAACAATTGAGATTTCGAAATAAGTTCATATAGCACAATCCCACTATTTTTATTGGGACTACTGTTTCTTGAACCATTTCAGAATAAAATTGAGACGCCCTGTATAATACAGTACCGGATATACTAAAAGTTGTTAGTCATAATACAGGGAGATTCACAAATGGTGACCAAAAATCTAACCTCGGATTCTTTTTTTTGAATTTTAAAGGGAGTCTTTCCTATAAAGTTTTTATCTAAGATGCTTCTTTAAAAAGATACAGGGTGTTAAACTTCAAAAAATATTTTTAATTTTTTTAAATAATTTAAAAACAAGTAAGTTAAATAATTTGAAACTGGGCACATGTATTTATGTAAACATTGTCAAAAATCTGAAGCCTTTTTCTAAAATTTGGATGCTTCAGTAGCGGAGATACAGGGTATCGGTGGCATATTTTTCTAAATACGCCACTGCTTTACGGCAACAACTATGATATTTTCGGATTTGTCTTTCAATTTTCTTCAAATTACTACTCTCTTATGTTTTTCGAAAAAAACCTGATTTTCGGGTAAACTTAAAAAACACACAAGTTTCATTTTTGGTCACCACTTGTGAATCACCCTGTATAAGAAAATGTGAAATAGTAACAACATAATGCTTCTTTTTTAATTTGTTTCTGCTTTGGAAGTTACTAGTGAAAAGAGACAAATTAAAACTCGTAACTTTTATCAGGGTTGTATTCCAACAAACGTAATTGGGAATTTTTTCACTGAAACCGATGATTGGGCTTGTTAGACAACTTGGCGACGACCCTTGTTAGAGTTCCGAATATAAAATTAACAAAAACATCTTAACGATTTCACAATCGCGTCATCCCGCTGAATTCAATTATAAAACTTGATTGGCTCGTACCTTCCCGTCAACCTTTCCATATTAATATAAAAAAGGCCATCAATCATACCATGGGCGATTATCAGAAACTCTTGAAGGTTCCCCGAGATACAACCTATGCTTTCTTCGCTATGTTTGCTAAGGGATAATTTGAATATTGGCAGATTTTAATGTAGTCTGTTCAAAGAGTGATAGGTTTGATAAAGTATCGTTCCAAAAACTCAGATTCATGTACGGAGTGCCTTTTTGAACACATTATAACTGAGTAATCTAAATTTTTAAATTCTTGTGGCCAGAGAAAATAAATACTGTTTTTTAAAGCATATTTTTTTCCATACGTAACAAAAAAGTTACTGGTTGCTAATTTAAATATCTTGTGTCACAAATTTCGACATTTTTTTAAATGTAACCTTAGCAAATAAACAGTGACTAAACTATAGGTATTATCATGTCACAAAAAAATATATCATCTTGTATAATACAAAATTTTTTCTTCAACCGTCACAAAACTGTGACATTAGTCCGGTCAAATTAGTCATAAAAATAGTGGTCAAATAACGAAAATTCCGACAGAGCTAAATTTTGGTGGAGACCTTGGGTACGCCATTAGAAATAAAGTGTCAAAATTCTCCATCGATCCCATGTGTGCTAAAGAAGTTATTCGGGGTCAAAGGTCAAAATTTGAGGTTTTTTGGAATTTTCGTTCTATCAAAAAAGTAGTTCTGACAAAAATTATAGATCTTAAAATACAAGTAAAAATGCATATTTGTGTCTCTTATATGTATAAACTATACTATTCTGAGAATATACACTCCAAAGAAACTCAGTCCCTTAGTCAATCCCCTCTACCCGCATGCCCTTGAATAACATCGGCTACTCTATTGTAAAAACTTTTGTAAAAAATACACGAAACAAGAAACAAGTACAACTATCTTGTCTTCCTCCAACATCGGCTTCTGCTAATCAACACTTGTATCGAGTATACATACTATCAAGTTCAGACATGGCTAGGCAATCAACTGAACCCAGAAGACTGGGGTTGGAAATTAACAGATAATCCTTTGGAACCGATTCAGACTTTACTCCCACCTGTTCCGGGAAAACTCCTAAACACTGTTTTTTGCATTTGAAGAAAAGGTTGTAGTGCTAAATGTGGCTGTAGGGTTACTGTGTTCTCCAGCGTGTACTAATTACCAAAGCCAGTCTTGCTCAAATGTCCAATTGAATACAACAGACGAAGATTCATGTGATTTCGATGAAGAAACAGCTGATTCATCTTCATTTGAACAATTTATGAACATCCAGCAAGAAGATTTATTCGGTACATCTTTTCCCCATCTTTATATCCAACATTGAATATTGTGACCAAAGCGTTGAAGGCTTCATTTTATTTGCTAAGCATCAGAAATACACCTCGATACATTTTCTGAATACACCTTAATGCTTTTTTATTTGCACCAATCCATAAAACGTTGGTAGACACATTCATAAATTTCTCGAGATTTCTTTGGGAGAAGATTCAAAGAAACCTCTTTCGCAATAGACCTGGCAACATTTTTTATTGTTCATAAAATTTTGCTGTTCAGGACTATCATAGTTAGTTGTCAATGTTGGAAATGAACCATGCGTTCGCAGATGTCGAAACACAGGATCAAATGTTTGATTACTTGGCACTCTTTTGTTTGGAAATCGTCGTTGATACTCTCTAGGTAGTACTAGAAACACTTTCACACGTTTTACTACATACACTGACGTTTATATGTCAACTATCATTTGTTTTGTCAACTACCATGTTCATAGCTAACGAGATTGGTATTGAAACATTATTTCTAAACTTTAAAGGTCCATAGCTCGATAACCATGGAGAATTGGACCCATGTACACCATAACTTTTTTATTCAGATTGACCTCAGGGACTTGTTGCAGTACGACCTGCAACATCCTGTATAAGAAATGATATGAGTAAGGAGTTACAGCAAATAATGAATCCTAAGATTCTGTTTTTAACTACGGCCACTTATACAAATGACGAAAATGCTGATACAGCTTATGTTTACGGTGTACGAAGCTAAGCGAATTTATTCAAGATTTCGCTGGATTTCGGTAATAGGCGGGATAAGAGAAAGAAAGCTTTCCATTATACATACTTTACCTTGTTTACTTTATCGATTCTGTTATAAAAAACTCGAGCCCCAATATTTAGGTTCAATTATAATATGTATTAGTTTGCTCGAGACTGAGCGATACAACTTTCTTTTACAGGCATTATCGTTACGAGCAAAAATTGGCCTGTCTCCTATGGAAAATCGATATGAGAGATGTCACCATAATTCCCACAGAAACTGCCGAAGTGTCGACTAGAAATAGGAATATGGTAAGAAGGTTATTGTTGTGTGTAGGGTCTATTTTGCGGAAAATTGCAATGTTTTTTTCATGGATGTGGAGTGAAGGGTTGGAATTATTATCAAGGACTGCGAGAAAAACAGGGTCTTAAAAGTTTTTGCTGTCATTTTTTTGTAAAAATTCAATTTCGTTTTTTATTATAATCGAAGAATGGGATATTATGTTTATCACATCATTTCAAAGGCGATAAAATTAAAAAAAGACAAAGTTAAAAATAGTTAAAGATAGTCTTACTAAACTCAGCAAAAAAATAAAGGGGTACAGTTGTGGACAAAAGAAATTCAACGCCTAAAACATTTAAAGAACGCATCTGATGAAACCACTTTTTATAAAGACCCATAAACTCTTGCAGTTGGAGGCTTTTTATCGTCCAAAGCTGTACATCCCTTTTAAAAGAACGTGGAAAAAGAATTACGCTCATTTCGCAGAATTTCCTCCATATCCCTTCGAGTAAAACTCTGCTACGCGGGATAATAAATTGTTATTTCTGCTCTGCCCAAACTGCCTCATATTTAACATCTTTTCGTTTGTGTCTGTGTGCTAGATTTCCGAGAATAATTTGTTTGTTTCTAGATCAGGGTCTGCCGACACAGTGTCTTTCACGCGCCCACGAGCAGCATCGTCGATACGTCCGAACAATCGCCCAAAAGGGCATACACCACCATAGGGCTCTACAAAGGGAACATAGTGGCGATCAAGTACCTGCACAAGAGACACGTTGACCTGACGAGGTCTATAAGAAAAGAACTGAAACAGGTACTCCTTCTATTATCGTATTCATATCTCTCAAAATGTATGTGTTAATAAACTTTCGGTTGAAGTTCCTGATCTGATACTCATTGTTTATTGTAACTATTTTAATGTTGAAGCAACAATTTTATTTTCTAGATTCGTGAAGTCAGACACGAAAACCTGATCCCCTTTATCGGCGCCAGCGTGGATCACGCCCACGTCGCCATTCTGACGGCGTATTCAGCTCGGGGAAGTCTGGAGGACGTCCTAGCCAATCAGGACCTCAACTTGGACAATATGTTTGTTTCCTCTCTGGTATCGGATATACTGAAGGTAAATGTTACTCCATTTCAAAATGTGAGTGCCACAAGGTACTGTTTTGAAGCCACTTCTTGTCTGTATCTATGCTAGTTTATTAGTTTGGATAGAGGCCAGTTTTGAGGACAATATTGCTTCAATTGCGAATACTGGTGACTGTGAAAATTAAAGTTACTATTTTGATAATGACTTAGGACCCATATTTTTTTGGGGGGGGAAGAGGGGGGAGGGGGAAAGAGGGGGGAGGAGGGGAGGAGGGGAGGGATGATTTTTATGACTAACAAAGAGAACTTGACATGATTCCGATATAAAATTTGGTGCTGTATCGTATCAGTACAAAATCAGTACATACAGTACGTATCAGTACATACAAAATAGCGTATTCCGTTTGATATTAATAAAAAAAAGGACGAAATTATATGGGTCAAGGCCTTAGGAGATATAAAATCTCTTGCTATTCAATATTGATGACTGATCCGGAACTTTATGTAAACGAAAATAGCAGAAAAAAATTATATCCGCCGTTTTCTTTAGCTCAATTGTTCTTTTGCTTGAGTTTTATCTCACAAAATGTTTAATTTACGAGTAGCAATATCAAAGTCCGTTTAGTAGTATATTTCCCTAAAAAAAGTAATATATTTTTATAAACTTCCAAAGCTTTCATGTACAACTGTGGACAATAAAATGTTTCCAACCTAAACTGCTCCTAAGATTCTTTAACATAGGATTTTTTCTTGTAAACGTTTTAGGTTTTTCCTTGTTCTGTACAGTTGCACATTATTCACATATTTATTTCAGGGTATGATATATTTGCATGACAGCGAAATCATATCTCATGGCAACCTGAGATCCAGCAACTGCCTGATTGACAGCAGATGGGTGCTACAGATATCTGACTTTGGACTGCACGAATTTAAAGGTAAATTAGAATAATGGTTGTTTAAAGTGTTTTAAAAATGAGCTAACATCAATATTTTCAGCTAACCAAGACGATCCAGAATGGAAAACCAAAGAGCTCCGGAGGCTGTTATGGCGAGCTCCAGAACTCCTGAGGGATTCTTCCCCACCTTCCAGGGGTACCCAGAAGGGAGACGTCTACTCCTTCGCTATAGTACTGTACGAAATCATCGGCAGGCATGGGCCATGGGGAAAAATTAACATGGAACCACATGGTGAGAAGGCACCTTTGATTTGAAGGTTATTTTACCATGTTGCTTTGTAGAAATCATTCGTGGAGTGAAGAAGGAGAACCAGGAGATTCCCTTAAGGCCCCCGCTTGAGAACCTTGGGGCTGCAGATTATATCATAAGGTGTATGAAGGCTTGTTGGCAAGAAGAAGCAGAACAGAGGCCTGATATAAGATATGTTAGGGTCAGACTCAAAGAAATGCAGGTAATTTGTCCCAAATTATTTTCGAAAGAACATAGTAGTTTTAAGTGGGGAACACCCAGAGTTAAAAACAGATATAACCTGATTCTTACAACATTTCATCTTACAAATAAAAAAATGTAATATCTATAATGACAAGAAGCAAAAAATACACCTAATAAAATCGAGTGGTTTTCAAGGGAATTTTATAATTTGTTTCGTTTCTTATTTACTTCAAGAAGCGGACTGAAAACTAAGACTTACGTGTAGCGACATCAAGATAATTAGAAATACTTCTAAGTTTTCTTTTTGCTGGATTTTTTTGCGAGAGCTACCTTGATTTGATAGTAACGAAGTAGAGATCCTTAAGCCGTGACCTAAAATCAAAGTATTAAGTTGTTAGATATCAAATTTTTTTAAATAATTCCTCATTTCATAAAGTAAACGAAAAAATATTTCAAATATACGTAGATGTAATTGAAAACGTACCCAAGAGGTTTGTAAAAAAACTAATAACTTTTTAGGCAGGTCTGAAGCCGAACATATTCGACAATATGCTGGCGATAATGGAAAAGTATGCCTATAATTTGGAAGGGCTGGTACAAGAGAGGACCAATCAGTTGACAGAAGAGAAAAAGAAAACTGACGCTCTATTACATAGAATGTTACCCAAGTAAGTACTAATAGTCCAACCAAATTACACTTGGAGAAAAAAAAATTATAATAATAATAATAATAATAAGTCCGTGAGCAGGAGCGGCGGAGGGTTGATTTGGGGGGTTGAAAAGTTATGAAAAATTGTATCATTGGGATTTCTGAAGAAAGTTGACGTCAAACAAAAAAGTATCCAGTACAAAAGTTGTAGATCATACAAAAATCTACAACTTTTGTAGCGGTTACTTTTTAACATAACCTCAAAATTTCCGAGAAAAATGCGAAAAACAGTTTTTTTTCTGATTTTTCGTTTTTTATTTCTCATTTCCGCAAAAATAATTTAATTTTGACGAAACTTGGTGAAAGTATACCTTTCTCTATCTTAAATAACCTCTAATTTTTTTTAGATAAAAAAATCAAGAAGTTTTTGAGATATTAATTTTTTTCGGCCTGAAACACTTTTTTTTCAAAGAAAAATTCTACTTAAAAAATTCATCGTACAGAGTTCTGCCGGTAATCATTTTTTTCGTTTTGGCATATACTTTTTGGTGAAATAAAAAAATCTGTAATAACATTTCAAAAACATGCTCAAAAATGCAAAAAATAAAAAATGACTTGCAACAATGAATTTTTCAGTTATTGTTGATAATTTGTTTAAATTAAAAAAACATTCAAAAACTGATTGCACCATTCAATTCTACGGAAAACAATAAAAAAAAACAGTGTCTCATTGTTTGACCCAAAACTTTATTTTTGTACAGTATTGCTATAAACATCTAAGTCGAATTACAAATGCACAAATGATAAATTATCTCAGGATGATTTGAGATTTCGGCAATATAAAGTATTAACTGCAAAGTCTACTATTGATGAGAAATCCGAAAACCCGAAATTTTGCAAAATCGTTTAATTTTTTTCTGGCTTTATTTGAAAACGAATTTTAAATAAATTGCATATTTACATTGCCACTTTTTTTCGCTCTATCCAATGGCGTCAACATTTTTGCAATCCCACGTTTCGTCTTTGAGGCGCCATCATCAGATTGATTTTTTTTTAAATATATCGCCGCTATTTTTATGACAAAATCTAGTCATTTTTAATTCTGTATTAGATGATATTACTATTGTAATCGCTTAAAAAGGTTTTTAGCTATCATTAAAAATTTTTCCTGAGTACGGCTCTGAACGCTTTAAAAATACCTGTATCTATTGGAGGAGAGAGAGAGAGGAGAGAATAAAAGTCAATACAGCACAAAATATCCAACAATTTTTTAATCCACAATTTAAAAAGTTGTACCTAAAAAAAATAATACGAATTTATGAAATATTTTATTATTTCTAATTAGTATTGCTAGCAGTGGTGAAAAATTGTTGGATATTTTGTGCGGTATTGACTTTTATACTGGTATGACTTCATCCAATAGATATTTTGAAAGCGTTCAGAGCCGTACTCAGGAAAAATTTTAAATTATAGCTAAAACAAGCTAAAAACTTTTTAAGCGATTACAATAGTAATATCCTCTAATTCAAAAATAAAAATGACTAGATTTTGTCATAAAAATAGCAGCGACGTATTTTAAAAAATTAACCCGATGATTGCCCCTCGAAGACGAAACGTCAGATTGCAAAATTGTTGACGCCATTGTATAGAGCGAAAAAAGTGGCATTGTAAATATGTAATTTATTTTAAAATTCGTTTTCAAATAAAGCCAGAAAAATTAAACAATTTAGCAAAATTTCGGGTTTTTCCGGATATCTCCGGAACTACGTGCAATTTTAAAACTTTCTAAACAGCATATTAGGTACAAAAAAACACAACTTTTTTCTAATCTGAGCCACCCCGTATCTTTTATCGTTTCCTAGATCCTAATGCTATCCCATCCTTATCTTGGACACACTGTATATCTATGAATTCATCAAACTTTAAAAAAAATAAGTACACTAATCGATCCTACGGAAAAAAATATTATTTATTTTATTTATTCACTATTCGACTTATATTTATAGCAATACTGTATAAAAATAGTTTTGGGTCAAACAATGAAACAGTTTTTTTTATTTTTTTCCGTAGAATTGAATGGTATAATCAGTTTTTCAATGTTTTTTAATTTAGTGTCAAAGTATCAACAATAACTGAAAAATTCATTGTTGCAAGTCATTTTTTATTTTTTTGCATTTTGAGCATGTTTTTGAGCTGTGATTACAATTTTTTTTATTTCACCAAAAAGTATATGTCAAACGAAAAAAATGATTACCGGCAGAATTCTGTACGATGATTTTTTTAAGTAGAATTTTTCTTCGAAAAAAAAAGTGTTTCAGGCCGAAAAAAATGAATATCCCAGAAACTTCTTGATTTTTTTAACTAGAAAAAATTGAGGTTATTTAAGACAGAGAAAGGTATACTCTCACCAAGTTTGGTCAAAATTAAATTATTTTTGCGGAAATGAGAAATAAAAAACGAAAATTCAGAAAAAAAACTGTTTTTCGCATTTTTCTCGGAAAATTTGAGGTTATGTTAAATAATGACCGCTGCAAAAGTTGTAGATTTTTGCATGATCTACAACTTTTATATTAGATACTTTTTTGTTTGACGTCAATTTTCGCCAGAAATCCCAATGATACAATTTTCCATAACTTTTCAACCCCTCAAAATCAACCCTACGCCGCCCCTGCTCACGCATTTATTTTTTTTCGTTTATCATAAGCCCCTTTACCATTTCCACTTATAAAAGTCCAGGTAACAATTTTCCTTTTTTTCCCCTCTAAATGAGTTATTTAGATCGGTCTATAAGCATGAATCTTGTCTTTTGTCATAAGAACAAATTACCTCCATTATTCTAAATACGAGATATTGGCAGCATTGGTTTTCGTGATACTGTTATTTGAGTGTAAATTAATAATAAAGTTTAAAAAATGGTTTGGCTATTTTCTTAACAGGGCTGTTTATTCATAGTAATAGACGTTTTATATCTACAGCCAATTTCACTGAAGAATAACGACAACAACTTCAAGCAGGTCCTGGAAAATATTTTATAATGATATGCAAACATCATAAACTACTGACTTGTTTAATAAATTCTTTATAGTAGCATCTAAATAATTATAAGGTTTCAATCAGCGACGACGTTTGCAGTTAAAATAATTTTGTCCCTTTTTGCAGATCGGTGGCAGATTCGCTGAAGAAGGGCGAAAAAGTGGAAGCAGAGTCATTCGAATGCGTCACGATATATTTCAGCGATATTGTAGGCTTCACAGAACTCTCAGCCGTCAGTACTCCACTACAAGTCATCGATCTACTCAACGACCTTTATACATGTTTCGATTCGATCATATCTCACTACGACGTGTACAAGGTGAATAAAATATGTTTCAAACTCAGTATCAATGGAAGAACTGAGTTTTCCTTCATCGTAATCCACTCGTAAAATACTTTTCTGTCCTTTTATGACTGTACTTTTAGGTCGAAACTATCGGTGACGCTTACATGGTGGTCAGTGGGCTCCCCATAAGGAATGGCGACCGACACGCTGGAGAAATAGCTTCCATGGCCCTGCATTTACTGAGTAAAATCAAGAAGTTCGAGATCAAGCACCGTCAAGGAGAGGTTCTTCAGCTAAGGATCGGAATTCACTCAGGTATGCCTTCCAGAGAAAGAAATCTGTATCCCATCCAACAAACACATTATTTCATCGCCATAAGTTGTTTAAACATGTTTCTTTTAGGCCACGTGGTGGCTGGGGTTGTTGGGCTGAAGATGCCCAGGTATTGTCTGTTCGGAGACACCGTTAACACAGCTTCGAGGATGGAAAGCTACGGGGAAGCCTTCAGGGTACACATATCCCACGCCACCTACATGTTGCTTCAACGACTGGGGGGCTACACTTGCGAGGAAAGGGGGATCATTCATATAAAGGTAACTGACTACCAGTGCAAATAACAGAAAACTGTAGACCTTAACGTTATCTCTCACTACTCAAGGCTAATGTAGCATGATTTAAGAATAGATTTTGGAAGAATATGAACATATTTCTGTTGCCAAAGACCATCAACATTTTGCTCGAGAACGACAATTACAGATACCAGAGGATTTAGTCTCTAGGTTCAGGGTCTCTGCTGAGGTGTCCTATCTGAACAACTCTTATGAATTTTCTTTACTTCAACGAAAATGAGATGATCTTCCTTTTACAATTTTTGTTTCTTCTTTCAAGGGTAAAGGAGAGATGCACACTTATTGGCTGGTTGGTGAAGATCCTGGACATAGACTTGCTAGGATAAGGGAAGAAATCGTTGGTTCGTCATTATTCAGTAGTGTAAGCTCTGAACGTATGTATATTTTTTAAAACAACTTTTTAAATTCATCTCCAAGTTTTTAGACTTGATTACTGTAATTAATTTGATGATTTGTAGGACTGAGTAGCAAAACTCCTGACCTTCTTAGAAGAACTGGCGTAAGTCTTGAAGACGAGCCTAGTCTGTATGAACACTGTCCTTCGTCTCACTCCCAATCGGTGTGTCCAGTGTTACAGCTGCATCAGAGAGCCAGGAGGGCCTTCTATCCTTGTAATAGTCAGGTAAAAGTTATATCGCTTCCCATTGATATTGGAACGGTTCTGGATCTTGTTAATAAACCTTTCATCTGCCTTAGGACACTGTGGATGGCAGCTACAATATGCTGTGTCCTGAGATGTACAAGTACCACCTATCCAGGCTGGACTATGCCTGCTCTCACAGGAACCCCAGATCTGCTCCTGCCATCACGTTCACGGAAAACAATGAGAATTTTATGTGAATCACCATCCGATGTTGTTAAATGTTTTTTGTCAATTAAAAACCTTTCAAATCACCACTACTGCCAACGACGATTTTAATTTACTTGGCATATTGGTACCTCATACGATTGGGTGTCTTTTTGAAAAAGTGAAAGTTCAAATAAAGATGTCTCTTGTAATTTATAGTAGGAAAGTTTTCTTTGCAAATTCAGAATTTGGTCCAAAGATCTAGAAAGGAATGGCATTACTTCATATGCAATTGTAGCATACAAGAATTAATTAATTTAAAACGACTAGCTTAATATTTCAAGACTTGAATATTGACAAGTCCTTGTTCCTCTATGTATATAATCTTCTATAAAAATAACTGTAATTGATATAATAATTCTCTTACATTCTTGATTTGACTAACGCATTTTTAAATATAACAACACAAATAAGTCTACGTCTGCGCCCGAGATGCGCAAATAACCACACTGAACTTGACTTAGTTACTGCATTGTAAAGTGTTGATCAGTTGATCAAGTGGGGCGATACAGAGTCGGCCTAAGTTTCGTGTCATAATTCGTGATTTAATTTTCTAGCACGCACGACACTTTAAATCACATGTTGCTTAATGAAAATTTTCATTTCCACTTCTATTACCCTTTTATTTCAGAAACACCTTGTTTGGACTGTTGTATAAATATAAATTCTTTACGTAAAAATCAAATATAAAATTTTCGTAAATAATGGTGGTAATAATTCCAAATTATATATCTGCTAGTTGGAGCTCGATTTTTGTTTCAGATGAAACTTCATTATATCGTTATGAATATTAAACATTTAAATAAATTTAATTATCATCCATCCATTGTGAATTCACATTACCCCACGCCGAATTGTTATTGTAAAATTAACGTGAATAATATACGGAATTGTTGGCGGAACAATAATGGTGATTTGATATTCATGAATTCTATTTATAAGCCAAAAGTATACATTCCTCTTTGTACCGACTGTCCATTTTGGGAATCAAATTCTATATATAACGATATTTTAAAATGTTGTTTAATAAATGTTGAAAAAAGTGAGTGGGAATTTTCATTTCCGAAACCACAAATTGGATTTGTTTTTACTGTTTATACAGGGTGTCACGAAGTTGGCCGGCAATCTATGCATTTTGTTTTATTTCCAAAATTATTCCAGATAGAACATTGAAATTTGGAATTCAGTATTACTTTTATGGTGCAAATTTAATAGATGCAAAACAAAAAATTCTAAAATGTAGACAATTTTACGAAATTAAACGGTATTGTATTATTTTATTTTTAGATTATTTATCCGAATTTGAAACGTTTTAGTAAAAAATCTCGAGTGCGCGAGGGCAGCGCTCACTCGCGTGTGCGGGCTCGGTGTTCCTTCTCCCGCGTTCATTAACGTTAACTTGTACTGCTACTAACGCGTTTATTACATGAACTGTCAATGTAAAACTTTCTGAAAATAAAAGTTTAACTCTTTCTTTAATTATCTCTAAATCCAATACGTCAAAAAGTTAATTAACAATTAATGTTATCTTGGGAACAAAGAGGCGTAGGTGATTTCTCTTTTTTAAAATTACCGTAAAAATAAGCTCCATTTAATGCAAAAAGAGCGAATTCCCGAGCGGCTTTTGCCTGACCCTGGGACAATTTAACGCTGTTTTGCCCGTCCTACTTTGTTAGTTGTAAAGGACAACTTAATTTCAACTTTTTCAATGTATTCTTTTTTGTTCCTTTGGATCAATTAGAACCTATATCTACGATACTAACTTCTAAAATTAACGCCATGCGCCATCTAATTGTATCCCCATTTTTCTCAATATATTTAAAGAGGCGTCATCAAGAAGAACCCAAACCAATTCAATAAAGACCTCGATAAAGACACGTGGATACATCTTACAAAAAAAATCGATAAAATACGAAATGTCACAAATATCTCCAATACCGTTAGAGATAGGTGTAGGGAACCTATACACAGTTTGAAAGAGTTTTAAATTTCCTAACTCCCAAACTAAAAATATACTGGGTGTTCCATTTAAAATAACCAAGTTATTGCTGTTTAAACTTGAGAGAAGTATTCAGCAGTTTTTTGAACACCCTGTATAATACTAAGTGACGACAAATATAATAATTTATAACTTCAAGGATCTAAAATATACCCTCCAAAGCTGCTTCCTTAAAATTATTTTTTATTGCAAATATTAAATTTCTACATTTTCTGCATTTTCACTAAAATTGAAATATCTCACAAACTGTAAGTCCTAGGTATGCAGAACCTTTAATAAAGTTCACCTATTTTTTTATGGTGCTTTCAAAAATGCAGTAAAATACAGACTGTTCCATTTAAAAATACATAACTTTGATATGGTACGCTTTTCCTGGACACCCTGTATATTTCAAAATATTTTTAAAATGTAGCCGTAATCAAGCTACACATACCCACCTAAACAGGTTTCTGTAACATTTGCCGTTTGGTTTTTTGTCTGGCAATTAGTTTTTTAATAAAAAATACACTTACAAACTCAAACTAAAAATGTCAGACAAGTTGGGCTGGTCGAAAATATTTAAATAAATAAACCAAGTTGTAAAAAATACAATTTCTCGTTTTTTTCGACTTTTTTCCTTTATAATATAAGCTGTAATTACTTGGGAAACATACTCAAGATACAATTTCCGACGTAAAATTTCCTACTGAATTTGATGCTGTCAACGGAAGTGACTTACCTAGCCAAGAAAAGCTGTAAAATAGGAAAAACCTTCGTAAATTTAAAAAATTAAAATATTAAATCATATTCGAATTAAGAAATAAAATTGCAGGAATAAGTCGAAAACAAATGAGAAATTGTATCTTTTTACAACTTTGTTTATTTATTTATAAATTTTCGAACCGGCGAATTTGTCTGGCATTTTTAATTTGACTTTGTAAATGTATTTTTTATTAAAAAACGAATTGACAGACAAAAAAAAGACACTAAAGTTTTCAGTAATTTTTTTAAAACTATTTAATTTAATTTATTTTTTTTTTAAGTGTCTGGCGTCTGTTTTGTAACTTTATAATTCATTTACACGTTTTCGAACAGCTCAATTTGCATTTGTATGTTGTATTTATACGCGCATTTCTAATTGAAATGTAAAATGCCAGACAAAAATACATTATTGAAATTTTTATAAATTTTTTCAGGCCTTTTTTATTTATTTATAAATTTTCGAACCGGCGAATTTGTCTGGCATTGAAAAATTAATAACATTTTGTAATACTGCAAACACAATGGCCGTCATTTTGTACATTAATATCGCTGAAAAATATTAAACATTTTCACATAATTTTCCGCTGAGATACTCGACTCCGAACATTGGTAACCGTCTGACAATTTATTTTTATTTTCATAACAAAAATTTTCATTGTTTCGATTGCCAGACAAAAAATAAACGATGAATTTTTCTTCTTGCAAGTTCACCCCTATGAACCACCCTTTCGGCTATTTAAAACCATCTGTCATTTGAAAATTGTTAGATATTTATTAATGTCTAACTTTGCATCAACTGCCAGACACTTTAAGATGAGTATTAAACTAATTATTTTATGCAAAAGGAAATTAATTTTCCAAATTTTCGAACACTGCTCGGCCCTTAAAACCATCCTTATTTTCATTAACTAACTTACCTTTTTCAGACGCCACACCCATCTGCGCTAGGTCGCGGTCTATAAGATACAGTTAAATAAACAGAAAATGACATTAAAATTGCTCTCAATTTACTTATAGGGATTTTTTGTTGCAATTGTAATTTTAAATTTGTCTCTTGCTAATTCTAACAATAGTCAATAAATATAAAAAAAATTGTGAAACGAAGAGGTTTAGAGTTATTTTCGATTTACTCAATTCCATAGTGAGCTTATTTTAGATTAAAAACAAAAGAAAAAAAAGATTTCGAAGGTTGGTATTGTTTGTAATTACTATTTCAATTTCAAATCCAAATTATCTGCAGGAATAGAATAAACCAAGCTTTTAAGGCGACTCCAAAAGTAAAAATAGAAATGATTAAGATCAGAAGAACGCGGTGGAATTGGTGAATTTTGGCCACAATCTATCCATTTTCTGGGAAATTTTTTGGTGTAACCACTTACGTACAAAAAGTATTGTGCTATGGAACTAGCGTGCATGAACCAATTATTTTGCCTTTACTTTCAATGGAACCAACGGAAAGAAGGTCACCCAAATTATTTTCTAAATAACTGTGATAATCTTCTCAGTGATGGGGCTTAATGTGAAGCCCTACAAGATAATGTCCAATCACATATATCCATACATTCGGACTGAATGTGTGCTTTCATCAGTCCAGGTACGAACAAAGAGGCTCGGTCCAATAAAGCCCGAGATCAAGTCCGGATCCACCAAACGCAGAGATCTAGGCATAGCCCAGACATCAAAATTGACATTAATAAATTTGACAGGTTTTCGTACCACTCAGAAGATGAACTCTATTTTAAATCAACAAATTTAAGCGAGGACCCAAGATCAAGACCAGGATGGACTCCGAGGAGATCAACGACGAGAGCGACCACGACGACCAGAACTCGCCGGGATACTACACCAGGTCCAAGAGAAGGAAGCTGAACAAGAAGCAGCTGGAAGTGGCGACTGNCTAACAATAGTCAATAAATATAAAAAAAATTGTGAAACGAAGAGGTTTAGAGTTATTTTCGATTTACTCAATTCCATAGTGAGCTTATTTCAGATTAAAAACAAAGGAAAACTTGATTTCGAAGGTTGGTATTGTTTGTAATTACTATTTCAATTTCAAATCCAAATTATCTGCAGGAGTAGAATAAACCAAGCTTTTAAGGCGACTCCAAAAGTAAAAATAGCAATGATTAAGATCAGAACAACGCGGTGGCCAAGCAATTGGTGAATTTTGGCCACAATCTATCCATTTTCTGGGAAATTTTTAGGTGTAACCACTTACGTACAAAGAATATTGTGCTAGGGAACTAGCGTGCATGAACCACATATTTTGCCTGTACTTTCAATGGAACCAACCGAAAGAAGGTCACCCAAATTATTTTCTAAATAACTGTGATAATCTTCTCAGTGATGGGGCTTAATGTGAAGCCCTACAAGATAATGTCCAATCACATATATCCATACATTCGGACTGAATGTGTGCTTTCATCAGTCCAGGTACGAACAAAGAGGCTCGATCCAATAAAGCCCGAGATCAAGTCCGGATCCACCAAACGCAGAGATCTAGGCATATCCCAGACATCAAAATTGACATTAATAAATTTGACAGGTTTTCGTACCACTCAGAAGATGAACTCTATTTTAAATCAACAAATTTAAGCAAGGACCCAAGATCAAGACCAGGATGGACTCCGAGGAGATCAACGACGAGAGCGACCACGACGACCAGAACTCGCCGGGATACTACACCAGGTCCAAGAGAAGGAAGCTGAACAAGAAGCAGCTGGAAGTGGCGACTGTGAGCAGCCCAGACCTAACGGAAAGAAAGAGGAAGAACCCCATCATGTTCGTGCCGTCGGAAATACTCCAGACGGTGTTCAAATATGTGTCACACCACGAATTAAGTATGACTTTCTTGTAGACTTACGTTTGTAGAAGAAATTGTAGGAACAGTAACCAAGTTAAGATTTTTTTTAAGGTGGAAGCATAAGGCTTGTTAATCGCAGATTTAAGATAAACGCGGAGAACGTGCTGAACCTGGCTTTCAAGAAAATTGAGAAGAACCTTAACGTTTTGATAAAAAACGCAGAGGTTTCGCTTGCTTATACGCAGGATGATATGGAGATCAAATGCGTTTCCAAGTTGTTGAACATGTTGGAAATTTTAAAGGTGCAAGTAAGTTGCCCCAAAATAATCCAAAGCAACATGAAATGAAGGTTTTTAGCGTTACTTATAAACAAATTGTTCCATGGTCATGCAAAAGCCGCTCGGGAATTCGCTCTTTTTGCATTAAATAGAGCTTCTTTTTACGGTATTTAAAAAAAAGAGAAATTACCTACGCCTCCTTGTTTCCAAGATAGCTTTTTTTATAACGTTAATTGTTATAAACTATTGGACGGACAGGGATTTTAAAGACAATTAAAGAAAGGGTTAAACTTTTATTTTCAGTAAATTTTACAATGATAGTTCATGTAATAAAGGCGCTAGCAGCAGTAAAAGTTAACGTTAATGAACGTCGCTCTCGATCGCGAGCGAGATCTTTGTCTTGTACATTTAAGTTATTTTGATGTTATTTTTTATACATTTTAAGTTAATTCGACTGGTATGACGTAATAAGGTTATAATACACATACAGGGTGTTCCATTTCGCGTGGGTGCTATATAGCTTTGTTATTTTAAATGGAACACCGTGTATATCATTGCATTTTTGAATTCCTTGGTTAATATTAGGTAAATGTTGTTTAAAACTCACCCTTTTCGAGATAATCAGTTGATTTTGAAAAAATCACAATTTCAGTTCTCTAAATGAGGTTAGATAGCGTCTAAACCAAGAAAGTCGGAAACCTGCAGTTTTCACAGTTCGTTTTGGCATAAATTACTCTATCTTGTAATCTGTGAGCAAAATGTGTACATTATTCAGACTCGGAAGAGTTGAAAAACTTTTTTTTTTCAAATGGTATGACCCATATTAATTGTCATTGACTGATATAAGGTTTTCCATACTTATCTTTAACAGTTTTCCAGAAAAATCAGGTTCTTTTCTAAAGTCTGAAAAAGTAGCTGTTATACAGCATCAAGAAGGCCTTGCAAAACCATTTTTCTCTCACATTTTATCAGGCCTGGGACTGACAGTGTCAATATTTACTGGCATGTTTAAAAAGTTGTTTGACATACAAAAGTAAACCACTAACAACGACTGAAACAAAACGCAAAACGAAACAAACTGAAACTTGGAACACAACAAGGAGAAGAGTACTTAGACCGCTGATTTACATCAATTGCTCGAAATGTCCTCTATTTTAATTAATACACAAACGAATTCGGTTTTCTTGACACCTTGAAGGCCAATTCACTGAACCTTCGCGCCCAATTCACCTGTTGGGAAAAAGCTTCGTGTAAAAACTGACGAACTTTTTCGGATTTTAGAAAAGAACCTGATTTTTCTGGAAAACTGTTAGAGATAAGTATGAACAACCTTCTATTAGTCGAAAGGGCATTCAATTTTGCATTCACCCATGACAATTAATATGGGTCATTTCATTTGAAAAAAAAGTTTTTCAACTCGAAAGATTATTAAATGTACGTCTTAATATTTCCGAGTCTGAATAACGTACACGTTTTGCTCACAGATGACATGGTAGAGTAATTTACGCCAAAACGAACTGTGAAAACTGCAGNGTGCAAGTAAGTTGCCCCAAAATAATCCAAAGCAACATGAAATATGTTAAATTACATCGAAACGGCTTGCACAAAACACAGGAACTTTTGATGTATTATGAAGGTTTTTAGCGTTACAAACAAATTGTCCCATGGTCAGGCAAAAGCCGCTCGGGAATTCGCTCTTTTTGCATTAAATAGAGCTTCTTTTACGGTATTTAAAAAAGAGAGAAATTAGCTACGCCTCCTTAAGTCTGAAAAAGTAACTATTTTATCAGGCCTGGGACTGACAGTGTCAATATTTACTGCATGTTTAAAAAGTTGTTTGACATACAAAAGTGGACCACTAATAACAACAAAAACAAAACTCAAAACGAAACAAACTGAAACTCGGAACACAACAAGGAAAAGAATACTTAGTCCTCTGATTTACATCAATTGTTTGAAGTGTCCTCCATTCTGATTAATACACAAACTAATTCGGTTTTTAAAAGACTGTTCAACATTGGTCAGCATGTCTGGCGCAAATTCTTGAAATGCTACTCTAATGCGCTGCCACATATCTTCCGAGGTAGTTGATGGTGTAACGTAAACTTTGCTTTTTATAAATCCCCATAAAAAGAAGTCGCAACTTGTCATATCTCACTGAACTCCGCGCCCAATTCATCTGTTGGGAAAAAGTTTCGTGTAAAAACTGACGAACTTTTACGGATTTTAGAAAAGAACCTGATTTTTCTGGAAAACTGTTAGAGATAAGTATGAACAACCTTATATCAGTCGAAAGGGCATTCATTTTTGCATTCACCCATAACAATTAATATTGATCATTTCATTTGAAAAAAAAGTTTTTCAACTCGAAAGGTTATTAAATGTACGTCTTAGTATTTCCGAGTCTGAATAACGTACACGTTTTGCTCACAGATGACATGGTAGAGTAATTTACGCCAAAACGAACTGTGAAAACTGCAGGTTTCTAATTCTTACTTATTTTGGTCAGAGGCTCTTAAAAAACCAATTTACTTAGCTTTTCCGTAGGTATTTTGTTATTGAGAATTCATTAACAAAGGACTAAATATTCTTCGTACCTAAACTGTGCCATATTTGTTTGTTGTACTATAGCCTGTTTGGAAATGAAAGAGAGTAATAAAACCCCGAGATAAGAGCCGGCCATGGGCGTGGTAATATTTCGTTTCAGGTAATTATCGGGTAACACTAATGCTAACAAAAATGACAGGGATTGGAAAATCGACTATCTACAGACTTTTAAAGGAAACAAAAAATGAACAAGATACTGTAAATCCCCCAAAATCATCTACAGGGAGGTCAAAAGTCGTTATAGATGATTTCTTCAAAAATGTCATTCGCAGAAAAGTACACTCATTTTATTTTAAAAAAGAAATACCAACGCTAAACAAAATTTTAAGTGAACTTTCAGAGGACAACGATTTGCCAAAAATCAGTAGAAGCAAATTATGGGCCGTCTTACGAGAGTTGAATTTTTGCTGGGAAAAGCAGAACAGGAAGTCAGTTCTTATCGATAAAGATGAAATTATTTGTTGGCGAAGATCCTACTTAAGATCAATTAGAAAATTCCGTGACGAAGGGAGGAATATTTATTATCTAGACGAAACTTGGGTCAACGAGGGATATACTGTAACAAAAGTATGGCAAGATAAAAATGTAAAAAGTTTTCGACAAGCATTTTTGGATGGACTTTCAACAGGGTTCAAGGCACCTTCAGGTAAAGGGCGAAGATTAATAGTGACACATATAGGTAGTGCCAGTGGTTTTGTAGATGGCGGTTTACTTTTATTTGAATCTAAAAATACAGGTGACTATCACGAAGACATGAACGCAGATGTTTTCGAAGAGTATTTTACACAGATGTTGGATCTTATTCCTCCGGGGTCTGTAATTGTCATGGATAATGCCAGTTACCATTCACGGCAGACCGAGCGGACGCCTACGACTGCTTGGAGGAAAGCCGATATAATTCAATGGTTATCCGGAAAAAACATTTCTTTTGAAACAAATATGGTGAAAAAGGAACTTTTGACACTTGTCAATCTTAATAAAGATCAGAAAAAATATGTTATCGATGAAATGGCAACAAATCGCCAAATAACGGTACTACGGTTACCACCTTATCACTGTGAACTTAACCCAATCGAATTAGTCTGGGCGCAGGTAAAAGGAGATGTAGCGCGAAATAATACGACGTTTAAATTAAGTGACGTGAAAATTTTGTTAAAAAATTCCTTGGAACGAGTAACTGCAGATAACTGGCAAAGATGTATACATCATGTACAAAAAGAAGAGGAGAAAATGTGGGAACTCGATAATTTAATTGACGTTACTGTGGAACCTATCGTTATCAATCTAGGAGACGAAGATAATTCATCAGAATATTCAGAGGATGAATTTTAATATACCTACTTTTTTATTTTCTTTATTGTACATTTATACAACACTACATTTACTCACCATAATTTGAATTTTCAAAATACATATATTTTTGTGTGGAATAAAAGTCTATTCATTAAATTTAAATAAATATTTTGATAATAATATTGAATAATTTTATTTGAATTACTAAAAACCCTCTTAACCCGGTTATGATGCTTAAAGTAGCCTCATGTTTTGAAATGCTGTTTTTATATCGTTTACTTAAAAGCTACCTGCTACAATTTAGTACGGTCCGATCACACAAAGTTTTTTTAAAAGTACACCTCATCTATATGGAAAATACATAATATAAAAATATTGAATATAAGCACCAGTACTACATTTAATTACGATTTGCATACATAATAAGCTTTTATTACTCGCTTTCATTTCTAAACAGACTTTAGTAGCTATAACGACTAGTCGTCTTTCCTTAACCAACTTTTTTTTTTAGTATTCTATAGTGATGTCCACCATATGGAGGTACGTGTACAACGAATATTACAGAACCAACAGGTCTTGCATGTATGGAGGTCTTCTCATTGATACTCACAACATCTTCTTGTGGAAATTTGTGCATTATCCCAACCTACTCTACGCTCCAGCCGTTGTGAAAGACTATGTAGGTATCGCTTACCATAATTTTTCCGTCTCTCAACTTGCTGCATGTTCTGGGTACAAATTGTTTTGAATTTAGGCATTGCCTCAAGAAGTGACAAGGATTATCCAGATGACCAAGACGTTCTGCGTCCACTTCGACAAAGTCAACGAAGAAGCTCTCCACAACTGCTTGGTGTACAGTGGTTGCAAAGTTATCGACATTTTGGACTGTGCAAAGTTCATCCAGAAACTGGTCCTCGACGAGAAAGTAACGTCAGACACTTTTGTAGCAAGAGTAAACGTCAGAATTTTTTTTGTTACTCGTATGATTCATGTTTCGTTTTAATTTTTAGTACAACTACTTTTTCCAAAACTCCTGGTTCATCGGGCTTCCGATTTCAGTGACCAAGGAGATGGAATGGAATCAGAAGCAGAGGATGATGCACATGCGACTGAGGAGGGTCGTCTTGGCCCACAACGATATGTTCCTTCAGCAAGCTCAATACGAGAGAGAGCTGATCTTGAGGCCAGGTCCAACGATCAGAATCAAGAAACCTGGGAACAACGTCTACACCGGGTATGGGGACGTGATGGATACGTTTTTTTATTATGGAGTCATGAACGATGGTGAGACACAAGAGAAAATTTCAATAAATCATTAAATAACGGGGTTTATATATCTGCAGGTGCTTACATACAAAAGTTTCACCTGGACGAGGACAACGACGAAGACGAGGTGGACGAAGAGGTCCAGAACCAAGCGGGCAACGGCCCCCACGCCAACGTCCCGAGGAACAACTCAGAGGAGGACATCTTCTACCAGATAGCCCACTTGGGGTTCCGAATGAACATAGAAGTGAGGTGCCCCCTTTCCTACGCTCCCTTGAAGATACTGGAGAAACTGGACACTAACCAACAGGATATTCTCAAGAAGAAGCATAAGACTAAAGGCCCGACGGGCATCTCCATCGTTTTCGAGTGCGAAGGGGCTTCGTATCCACGGCTACCCACCATCTACGAGTACCACTTCAAACCAAAGCTTTTGTGATGATTTTATTTCCAAGGCCGTCAACGTGGATTGCCTGTTTGTGATGGATGCAAGTATTTTATTCGTATTTTTGTTGGAACCGCCATCTGCAATGCTAGAGACATAATAGTGACACTTTAGGGGAGATGGCGGTTTGTGTGAGATGTTTTTACGTGGGCAGTCACTGTTGGCGGTTCAGTTTTTATCTATATTTTTGTAAACTGTTTTAATTTTACAATTTTTCCAGAATACATTTTATTATTGATATTTTATCAAACTGTGTGTGTATTATTCTATGGAAATTATATACTATCATTTATTTACTTATACCGAGCGTCCAGAATAATTGAAGCTGACATCACACGTAAATGTTACCAAAGATATTAAAATTTACTTCCATTTGATCAAAATTACTTTCCGTTTTCTTAGATTTTCGACTGTCACGATCTGTCAATTCAGAGACGTTTGTGCTTTCCGTTGTGCTTGCTGTTGAATTTATTTGTTTTCGCCGATTGTGTTTTTATTTGAATTTATCGTTAATCTTCTACACAATCAGTGTTTTTCAACGCTAATCATCTGTTAACTGTTAGTTTTGTGGTAAGGAGGCAAATATTGATTGTTTCTTCGATATAAAGTACTCGAATTGTTTTAGGTTAGAAAATTGTGTTTTCCTTAGAAGACGATAAATTTATTGCAGAGGCCTCAAAATCAGTTAACGTGTTCCGGCGTTTTAAAAAAAATTAACTCATTCAAAAGATATGAATTTTATTCCGTACTTCTGGCCATCCCTGTATGTAAAGTTTCCATGCTGCAAGAATTATTACCATTAGATAACGAAAAAAGAGTGAACTGTCGTAACTGGTTTATCAACAACTTATACGACGACAATCTTTTAGATATAACTTTTTTACCGATGAGGCATTGTTTCGGCTTAGTGGATAAATAAATGCACAAAATTATCGTACGTGGTCTGCAGAGAACGACTTTACATTAAAATAAAAGTTTGGGTAACCATATCTCGGCGAAGAATAATTGGACCTATTTTGTTTGAGGATAATGTTACTGCTGAACGATATAGACAAAACATTTTGCACATCCATTTTTAAATCAGCTACATGATGACGAATTGCACAATGGTTAGTTTCAACAAGATGGGGCAACAGCACACACAGCCAACACAACACTGTTCCTAAGAGTTCCTAAAAGAATTTTATGACGATCGGATTATTAGTCGAGGCTTATGGCTTCCAAGATCTTCCGATTTAACTCCCGTAGATTATTATCTATTTGGAACATTAAATATTCCATATATGTAAACCGTTTACACAGTGGATGAACTAAAGGACGCCATAACAAATAAATTAGCTAATATTACAAAAAATTAATTACATAATGTATTTGACAGTTTAAGAAGACGAATAAATCTACGTATTCAGAACGAAGGGAGACATTTTGAACATTCATTATTAATAAATTGTTAAGAATTGATTCTTATGTTATTTTGAGGTTAATAATAGTAACATCTAAATCATTTTTATTTCATCTATTCCTTTAACAAATTAATAAACCCCTCTAATTAATTAATGCTTAATTCTGCTTTTTGTGTATGTATTTTTATGATTAAAATGAATATCTGACCCTTTTGCCACTGCACTTAACCCGCCACTGAACGAGGTAAATCACTGCCAGTGTTGCCAACTACGAAGAGTGAAAATAATGGGAGAGCGACACAAAAAATATTTGTAAGTAGTGACGCCATTAATCATTCTAGATCTCCCTGAAAAATTAACAAAGTAGCTGAAGGATACACCGAAGATTCTGTTCAAGGAATGAAGATTCTCGTCCTTTCAAATTGCTAATTTGCACCAAATGGTGCAAAAATTCAAGAGAAATCATCCTGTCCTGTGTTTTCTGACGAGCTTTGATGGTTTGATTTTTAATAAACGCAAAATGTTTACCCTGCATGTAAAAAAATCACGCGCGCAATCGAAACTTTTGTTTTGGCAACAAATTATACTAGATTGTGAACAATAATATCCGATGTAAGATCAGCGCCTCACATTCTAAACACGGGAAATTCTTTCCCGTCTGTGAAATTTCATTGATTGGTCAAGGTGGCTGTCTCGCTGCTCGTTCCACTTCGCGCATGTCTCGCGAGACAGGACCGGCATCAGGAAAATCGGAGAGCTATTAAATTTTTCCCTGAGTTATTAGCAATGTTTGCCAAAGTGCTTTTATTTTAAATAAAGAAAAACGAGAAGTTAAAATTAACAACGATGGGTGTAAATGACATTTTATTTGTGAATCAATCCACATAAGAGATAATCCAGAAAATGTTTCGTTTGTTTCTAATTTCAACACTGTATCTAAGTATATTTCTCTACTACCTGACAAAGTTCCCTGGATCATCCTGTATAATAAAAAAACAACTGGTAGCCGAAAAAAATTAATAAAGCAAGCTTAGTATTTTTAATTTCGAGGAAATTGTGGTTTCTTAGGGTCTACTTAATAACAAATAACTTTATTTGCTATTATTTCAATTATATACGCCTTTAAATTCGAATACCTTGTATACAATTAAATTAATTTAGTTCAGAAGCCTGTGTATGCGTAAATACAGCAAATTGAAACCTCCCTCCAGCGATCCCGGTCGGAATAGTCCGACCCTGTACCCCGCACCCCCTCATATTTCGCCTCGGCAACAATCGCGCTCGCAAAACGTACCCTCGCATCATCCACCGCTGCAAAAAGCGTCCCGGCACGAAAACCCTTTCGCACAGCGATCAGAAATGCATCCTGCTACCATCCACAAGCAGTAACCACGACCGCAATTAATTTCCATTGGTTGTTTACAACGCGGTAGAGTTTTCCCGAGCCCGTTTCGATCTTAGCATGGCATTCGCACCCCGCGCCGCGTCGGTCAGCTGTTACAGTGAGTGTTGGGTGGTCGTCGTTGTTGAAAACACACCTGTTCTAAACAATGATTCGCGATAGGTGGTTTATTAGCAGCCCTGTGTAAGGTGAGTAATGTTTTCAGTTCATGTAGATTTAGGAATAGAACAGGAGACGCCAGGGTTTGGTATTCCGTTCGGTGTTTTCGTAGAATCGTTGGTTTGGGATAGCGGCGATTTGACAGTTATTTGTTTGTGCGGATCAAGTAGGAAAACAAATGCTCGTCTTTGTTGAATCTGACAGATAATACCTGTGAAATTTAAAAAACGGGAAATTTGTTTTGAATTACAAAAATAAGTACAAGAATGCAATGAAACGATAGAAGCGAATACTTTTCTGCTTTTTTTGTACAAAAAAACATGAATGAAGGTAGTTTTCGTACCACAGTTCTTTAAATATAAGATTTTCGTATTTGATGGAGTGCTACATTTTGTTGGAAATAAGGTAATAATATTGTATACATTTCATATTTCACAACACTTGTGCCCTTCATAGGTGTCAGCAGTTTTTATATTTTATGCAAACACTGAACAATTGTCAAATAATTAATATTTCTCTTATTGGAATTATTATTATTACTATGTACTCAAGTAGGTACCTACTTTATAACATTCCTGTTAAATACTTAAATCTTAAATCTGATATTAAAGTTTGATCACACTTTATTTACACCGAATGGGAATATAAAAATGTTATTTTATGCTTTATTATTTATTACTTTATTAGTATTATGTCCGTGATAAAAGAAATTATTTTTGCATATTTTTTTCGTAGCTACGATTGAATCATTACTTAGACATGGATAAAAAATTTTTACCTATTTGAAATCTTAATCAACAATTTGTGCGATTCGAAGATAAGGATTTTATCGAATAATAATAATCTAGACAGCATTACTTTAAGATGAATTTGATAATGGAAAACCAGTAAGGAAATATTTTAAATAGTTTGGTTTCGATTCAGTTTAATCATACACCGACAAGGTACAACAATGACGTGTATTTTTTTTGTTATCAATTAGTGTATAACAGTGCATATGACCAAAATAGAAGGTTAACGGGTGAAAAAAATGCGTAAGTCCACACATATTGCCTTTTAATGTCATTTAAATTAAAAAATAGCAAGAGAACCAGAATAATGTCTATAACAAGGAATATTTTTTGAAACTTAATTTGTTGTTGAGGGTCTGGTGTTCCGCAAGAACCAGTTGCGCAATTAAATCCGTTCTATATAAATGGATTCTAAAATTATACTGCTTGTTACGATTTCTGGAAATTAAATGTTGAGTTTAAGTTGATGAAGTTCCAGACTACTATTGTTAAAAATATATTCGTGTGGTGCGACTATTAGCCATAACGGATAACATAAGTAACTTTTTGACCTTTATCTTTATCGACATAAGTATGTTTTCTGTCAATAATTGCAAATAAAGATAAACTAAATTGTCCTAACTAACTTGATAAAAATGAAGACCCCTTTTGAATAAAAGAAAAATATTTACTACTGGGCGGTTTGACCATATTAAAAATATCCGCCAAAAAGTAAGGACCAATTATTTTATGATACATTATGCCACAACAGACATTTACTTTTTTAAATTTTTGACTATTATCAATCGAAAATTTGGATTATCTTTAGCCCAGTATCTCCAATTTCGAGAGGAAACCACGTCATTAGTTGTGAATGTTGATTCGTCAGTAAATAAAATATTGTGATGAAATAATCTGTTTTCAGTCATTGTTAAACAAAAGTCCAAACGACGATCATCATCTTCAAGCAATTTATGATTAAACACTGGTTTGAATGGATAGATTTTGGTGTATACTAAAATTCTTTGAATATGGGATCTGCTAATATCTATGTTTTCTGACCTTTTCCTAAGTCTTCTTTGGATTGTCTTGTACTACAACAGTAGCAGCATCGTCATGATTGTATTTATTCCTTTTTTATCTTTTTAATATTCTTTACATCACCAGCGTTACCGAATGAAACATTACCGATTCCATAACATTTCACAAGATAAATTCGTTGCTCCAAAGTCAGCATTATTAGTAAAAATTATTCAGAGG